ATGAACTTAGAATCCTATATAATAAACTTCTTTAAAATAACTTTTTAAGAAAAAGAATATAACTTCAGTTTATGCATTTCCTCAGCAAATGAATCAATCCTTGTCGGTCAGCTGCCAGGATTTCTAAAACTATTCTTTCAAATAGTTCAGATGGTCATATGTGGGAAGCTACTACACTCTAGTAAGCTAGGTCCTATAGAAACAAATACTAAATTTAGTCATGTTCTATCTTTTTCTTTTTTTTTTTTTTGACCCTCTTGTCATACAAAGAAAAATTTAAGTCCAATCTTAAGCCCATAGTTGCCAAAATAAAACAGAATATACACTGTTTTGTGAAGGCATTGACTTGAGAATTTTTATTCCAAATGGAATTGCAAAGCAGGAAAAATTAGACTTGTCCCTAAATGAATATTACAGATTCTATATTAAGTACACTAAATATAAGCTAAACCATTTTGATAAATCAAACCTGAATATTATATTTGAAGAGAATATGTTTATATAAATGATAACTATTTCAAATACTGTCACTAACATTAATTAATACTTTTAAGACATTTTAATATGTCTACTTTTCATAGCTGTAAGAAATAACAATGATTATCACTATATTTCACTTAAAGGTTCCGTAAAGGAAAGTAAGTCAATGATGTTTTTAGCATTTGTAACCACTACCAATACTATTACATTAATAGAAATAATTACTCTGGTAGGAGAAATACATATTAGAAAAATTCACTTCCTGTTCAAGTCATTATAGTAAGGTGTTTACAGATATAATCCCTAATCATCACCAAGGTCCTCAAGGAATCATTTCACTATCTCACATGCAAGTAGGCTTGGCTTTACAAAAAGATAAGAAACTTGCGAGAGCTCAGGTAGGTTGTAAGAACAATATTAAAACACTGAATTTATGTTCACCTAGTTCCAAAACTGGTGGCTTCTATACCACCACATTTTACTGAAAATCATTATATGCTTTGGTTTCCAGTACAATCTATATTCTGGATGAAAATACATGCAATTAGCTAAAATACTAATTATGTCATTTATTACTTATTTATACTTTCTTTGAATGAAGAAGAAAAATTAAATAAAATGTCATAAAATTGTATACAATTATAAGTTATCCACAAATGTTCAAATTCTTGAAGTATTTAATCCTAAAGCCTAGAGAATAATTTTTTGCAAGTAGAAATGGGTGTTCACTTCAAGTAACTGACTACTTTCTTCTTTATGTCTCAAAAGTATTTTAAGAAAATGAAGATGTTCTTCAATAGCATTGACATTTGAAAGTATAACTGTTTTCTGTAAAATTTCTTCAGTTATATACTTTGTTTATAAAATGTGCAAATGTTATAATCAAATTACAGAATAGCTGATGAAGAAGTAAAAAGAATTTATATACTCTGAACAGAGAATAAGCAAACCCTTGATAAAAGAGATTGGTAAAGAGAGATTGGTTCAAGATGACAAATACAAATAAACAGTGTTCTGACTCAATAAGAGGCCAACAAGCTACTTACAAGCTTTCTTTTAACAAGTTTCACTGATTTATAGAAAAATGTTTTGTAGAACAAAATCATGATTACAACAGACTTACTAAATTCAGAAGGAAATTTTTTTTAAAAAATATACAGATTCCAATAAATTGCAACATGTAAAGATTCTAACACAAGCAGTTCAGAAGCATTTTTCATCTCTCTGAGTTTCAAAGAGTCAAAAAATCCTCATTAAAATGATGCTCAATTTTAGACTTTAACAAAATTTAGTTTAAAAAATGTATTATCCAAATATTCATCCTTTGTTCATAGTGAAAACGTTCAAAATCCTCTACCCTTTAAAAAAATATTCAATATATTACTGCTATTTATAGCCACCTGACTGCAACAGAATACCAGAGCATTTTACTTGTAACAGGACAAATAAAATACAAAACTGGAAAAAATTTAAATTAAGGAAAAATAACTACTCTGTCAAACACATAATAGTAAATCCCTAAAATAAAAAATATACATAGAACTAATGTGGGAGAAACTCATGAAATTCAAAAGCTTTTGCCTAAAGTTTCTTCAAGTGGTATAGTCTTACTATACTTCAACTTCAGTTAGTAAGAAATAATTCAAAGATAGTCAACTCACTGTTAAATTTTGGTAGGCCCAGTCACCTTTTAACCTTTCTTAGGGAACACTGACCCCTAAAGGTTTCAAATTTAAGTAAGTTTTACAACTTTCTTAATTTTACATACCCAGACCACATTTTTATCTATACTACCAGAAGTCTGTATATTAATGATGGACATATTTATCTATGAATAATATGTAAGTTATTTCTAAAGGATTGTCTAGTAAAACAAATTAGACTGTGTTTGTGCTAATAAAACCCATCAAAATCTATACAAGAAACTCAGAAATTTCTAGTAGTTGAATTATCCACACGAGACTTTTTAAATTTCTCATCTTTTTCTTATAGTTAATAAGAAATCAGTCTTTAAAAAAAGTTAATATCCATTCATATACTTCATTCTTTTCAAAGGATGACTTCACATAAGCTCCTTTGATTATGACAATGAATTTTTCCTATGAAAAAGATAAGAACTTTGAAAATAGAAAGTTTTCAAAAAGCTAAATTAATTATAGCTCATTTGAAAACACATATTTTATTCCCACTCATGCCGCATGTACCAACTTCAAATACATTTATTTAGGTTTTTTTAATTATGTAAAAACACTCTAGTAAACTAGGTACTTGTTTTCAATACCCAACCTACTGTTCTCGGTTTCAGTTTCAGAATGTCTATAATATCTATAGCAAAAATGGATATAGCTGTTGCATATCTATTTAACTGATTCTTCAACAGAATATTCCAGCAATGCTTCTAACATAAAGTAGGGAAAATGTCCACTTTTAAACTTCTTACAAAGGAATTTATAGGATAATACATGTATATACAATACATATATGTAGACAGTATGAGTCTAACAGAAGGATTAACTAAGGAGTTCAGTTTCTTTTTTAGAAAAGTAAATTAACTATTCAGAAAAGCAGATCATGAACATCTGTGAAAACATAAGGTTAGAGCAATTTGTGTTTTAAGATAAATCCCATGAACCTGGTTATCAAGGCAACGATAATGAAGAGATTCTATGGCTTAAACATATCAAGTCATCACAAAAATCAAAAGATATGCTAACCTATTTGATTTTATTTCTTAATAATGTTTATAAACAGGTACTTATAATAAGGAATAGCCTATTCCTAGTAATATGACATGTATAAAAATGCTTATTTTCTTCTTGAAGCTCCAGTCATGTCAGTTGCGCCTGTACTTCCTGTAAATTCCCTAGGCGTCTCTATGCCTTAACCCAAGCAAGGTTCTCTCTGGAAGTATCCCAGGGCTTCAGCACTCCTTCGACATTTTCCCTAGTTATTTTACATTCCAGACAAGTACATTAATCACAGCCTCTACCTCTTTAGATAACACTAAAAATAATTCACCAGAATCCTTTAAGATTCTTGAATCGCTACTTTGAACAACATGATTCACAATGATGTTACCTGTGATTAAGGAACATAAAATATAGGTATATCATAATTTGCTTTCTTTTTATTCCATTTTCTTATTTTGTAGATAAATTGAGTACAATGCTTTTCTGAATTCGTTCTCTTGAATACATTAAAATAGCTACTAAAAATTAGTTCCAACTTCACTCAAATACATTGCCAAAAACTTGACTATGTCACATAATTCATGCAATATATTTATTAAGTTTGTTAAACCTATTTAATCATCTTACTCAAATATTGCATTTTCCTACTTTATATACAATTTAATCAGTTATCTAATCCAAAACACAAAGCAAGCAGTTCAGAATCACAAATAAGTACAGAATTCAGAAAAAGGTATTCATAAAGCAGAGTATCTTTTTATGCTACAAATGTGTTAATTGTTAACTTACTTAATATAATGGCAATAGATCCCTAAGATGACTTTCAGTTTTCAAAAACCTTAATACTGTGGTTGGTGCATAATTTTGGGGGGAAGTGAAACCAAACAAAATGAGAGAGATGTGCAATGTTTTAATAAGAATTTTATATCCTTAAATATAAAGTTAAGAGGAAATGGGAGAAACAAAGGTTTAAGTCATCAACTACATGTAATATATACAAAATGATTCATTAATGAAATTTCTCAAGTTTTCAACACGTAACTTTAAAAGATTCTAAATCTTTTCTTCCCATGGAGGTGCTGATGTGTCTGTCCTTCAGTCTATTATCCATCCACCCATCCACCTCCCAGCCTTTCAAATTGGATTTTCTTCTGCCGCTCTTTGCCTCGAGGCTGTCTTTCCGCCCACGCACATGGTGTGAGTATTTTCTTGCCCGCGTCTTTCCAGTCATGTCTGTTTCTCACAGTCCCATCCTCTGTCTCCACCAGCTCATTCTCCATCTGGCTATTGCTGAACTCTGTCTACCTCAGTGTGCCTCATGGCAATGCCTGTATGCTTGCCTCCACACTGATCCCAGTGTGTTTTAGTGTGTGTTTCTTCTCATCTACATCCTTCTCCTCTGTCCCCATGCATACATCTATCTGGGTGTGTGTGTGTGTGTGTGTGTGTGTGTGAGAGAGAGAGAGAGAGAGAGAGACACTCTGGTTTCTTTCCCTGTGTCCCTGCATGCCTGCATCTCTATGTCCTTCCCAACCATCTCCCTTTTCTCTGAGTGTGCCTCTGCATCTGTCTGCCTCCCCATCACTCTGCCTTCTCTCCATCTCTTCTCTATAGGTGTGTCTCTTTTTTCTCGTACGTCTTTTTTCTTCTTCCTCTTTTGACGTCCCTTTTCTGCATGCCTCATTCTCTTTGTGTCTATGTTATGTGAGTCTCGATGTGCCTGTGTATCTGCTTGCCTGCTTCTAATATACTGGTTAGTATAAACACACTTCATTCAGTACCTTGAACGAGCACAACAGGGGGCTGGCATTAATACCTGAAAGTTCTTACCTTTTGACCAGTCCTCCATTTGTACTTCTGTTCTTGTTTGCTCTGGCAAGGTCTTTGGTTTTTACTCTAAGATTTGAAGCTAAAATAAAGCCAACTCTAGTTAAATAAACTTAAAACAATGTCAAAACACACCTAAGCCTTACCTTTGTTTTACAGAGAATTTACAGGACAAATATTTTTTTAAAAGGATTTATAAAGGAACAAGTAATAGTATTACAACAGATGAAATGAAATCTTTCTCACTAAAAGCTATTTGTGACACTTATATTTTAGCAACTATATCTCATTCATGCTTACTCAATTTGAGAACCACTTAATTTATTTAAGTTTTCTTTAACCATAACATCACACATTTAAAAAAAATATTTTACTATATTTGGCATAAATTTTACAGCAAAAATTTCAAAATTTTCACCTTAATTTAGCATGTTCATATTTATAGCAAACACTTAATGTGTGTAAAGGTAAATTAACATTATTTTAAATTCTTAAAATTCATAAAGAAACATAAATTTGTGGAACTATTGGTATTTCTCTTACATTTGTTTCAGTAGTAAACATGACAAATACTTTGCAAGTATTTTTTTGCATGTTTATAAGGATAATAAAATTAGATTTACCTCACAGCTAGAGCCCTGTATTCTTTAAAATGTCCTCAAATAAAGCTGTAGTAAGCTGCTCCTTTTCCAATTTTCTCTAAATATGTTGATCTGGAGTTGGCAGTCTTTTTCTAAGTTCCTCATTTACTTTTGGATTAGCTGAAAATATAGGAAGTTATTAATATCAAAGAAATATGTTCCAGTCAATGAAGCCATTTCCCTACATATTGCCCAAAAAGGTTAATAATAATTGCAGTATTTTAATAAGAGATTCATATAGCAAGACATGTAGAAAATACAGTCTTTAATAACCTCTGGAGTATTTTAAAACATGTCTTACAGGCCTTAATGTGCTTAGTAATATACTATTTAAAACCATAATTTTATCCCTCTGCAATATACAGTCACTCTTCCTCATAATTTACCCAGCTAATGAATGCCAGCAATTAGTAAAATGTAATCCCATTGCACAATCATTTTAATGCTTTTAGCACTCAGAAAAGTAAACACCAAATTAATACTGCTCAAGCCATATCAGATCCTAGTTGGAAGCAAGCAATTATAGTTCAGCTCCTCAGGTGTAATTAAATGATTGGAATGATTTAGTTTCATAAATGCAAGTTAATTCATAAGCAAGCAACAAATATACTGGGAGTAATTACGAGAAACATTGACTGTCTAAGCAGGGCAAATTCTTTTATGAGCCTGACACAGTAAATTGCTGCCCTCTCCTGGCAAGTAAGTGAATAACTCAGAGTCACAAAACAAAACAAAACAAAAAACCAGTAAAACCTAAGTTTGAAAAAATACTGCACAAAACAATAATGGCCAATATTCAATTGCATTTTATCCCTTATATCAAAAATCAAAATATATGTATGTTATAACAATTTCTAGTAATGTATAAGATTAATAAGTTAAGAGGGGTAGAAGGTTTTTTTTTTTCCAATTAAGCTCTAAGCTTGATTCCCAAATCATCCTCTAAATGAAATAAAAAATTCTTTTCTAACATTGATAGGTTTCAAATTAAACTTGCAGTAAACATCTGGAGTACTGGTCATATTTATACTTTTTCAATGGGAAAGAATCATTGGACTATTATTTGTAATTATGCCTTCATAAGTGGAAAATGTTGCATGAAATATTCAAAACAAAGACTAATTGTGACTTCATGTGAAAGTAAAAAATAACATTTAAAATTTTAATAGTAAAAACAGTTTGAACATTGGTATAATTGTCTTAATAAGCACATTTTAAAACAAAGAGTAGCAAATTCACTCAAACTAAAATGTATATTGTCCTTATCTAAGACATTCTTGAGTTTTCATAAACTTAGGATAAAATTTAAGAACAAAAGTTTGCTGGTGTATTATTCAGATTATTCTTAACTTCTCATATTAAACTTTTAGAAGTTTATTATATTTTAAGCTATACTCAATTTGGCTGTTAAAAATGTGTTTGTAGCACTAAACCTAATCGGTATTGTCTTTTCTGCAGAATTAAACATAACAATGTAATTAACAACAAATGTTTACTTCTTCAATAAATGCAAATGATACTTGCATAAGATAATGCTTATAACTATACCAGTAATGGGAGGGGGAACAGAACATGAAATTAATGTCCTTCTAATTTGCTTTCAACTGCATTAAAATAACCATTTTCTAAGTCTGATCCTGTGCAAACTATAAAATAAATCAAAATATTAAAACGTCCTGTCACTAAGTTTAAAATGTACAGCACATTGGCTTTGCCCTTGATGTCAGAGTCTTATTTTTCAATTCATATCTTGTACACTGTAAGTTAATTGCTTTTGGAAAGTACTTATTATTCATGTAAAAATTAATGTGCCAATGTATTTAAATCCTCTTAAATGACCATTCATGCATCTTTTCTCTTTAAGTACCAATGAAATCTGTCAAAAGACATCAATGCAAAATGGTCCCTAAGAAAGTTGAATAGAGATTTTTTTTCTGCTAACACAAGATTTTCATATTCACCAACTTTACTTAAATTCCATTAATTTTTTAAGCTACTTTTAATAAATTCACCAAGTAAAATTTTTAGGCTCCATAGTCTGTCATTTGTGTTCCAGCTGACACTATGAATATTAATAACAGTGTTATCCTGATTAAATAGGCTTCATATGAAATCCCTGTGAATCCTATAGCTCAGACATCTCATTTTTCCAACTCTTTATGAATTTGGATTCAGACATTAAACTGGAAAAATCTTAAAAAAAAGGTTTAATGGTACATTTGCATATTCTTAAGCAAAAAATTAGATGTCTTAATGATTCAGATAATTAAAACTTACATATCTACATATTACATCATAAGTAGATTTTGTAAACATGCAACATCTTTGCATTCTTCTATGTTTCAGGACAAAAGACTGAGGCTGATGAAATACTGATTCTTGTCATTACCTTAAAAACTTGATCTCAAGAATTCATTATGAACTAAAAATTATATAGTCACATTAAAATTAAGGGATAATTTCACAACAGAAATCAGAGTTAATACAAATGCTAACAATTCATACAAAATGTGTTAATTTCTTTATAATATGTACCTTTGAGGCAAAGTAAAATCAGTTTTCAACTAAAATTTGTTCACAAGCTCTAGTCCAAAAAAAAAAAATCACCTATGTTTTAAATAAAAGGAACTGAGCATACCATATCAGCTGGTTAAGTTAAAATCGTCTTCATCACAGATTCCTATCCTTATTTTTCCATGTTAATTTTAATTCTCAAACGATGAGATGAGTTTAGAGGAAAACAAAAGTAAGGCATACTGTAGATCCCTTCCCTCTCAGTACATAGGAATCTCAACATTTCTGACAAAGGTTCAGAATTTAAACAGCTCTGTGCTCTCAAATGTGACTGGATTTTCCCTGTGTACTCAGCATTAAAACATTTCTTAAAAGAAAATTTATCTTTGATCAGTCTAAAATTCCTAGTTTACCTAAATTATTATTTACCCTTTAAATTAATTAGTGCCTTTGAATAGAAAAACATTTCAAAAATCGGATATCATTCCCCAAAGTGACAGTACTCAGGATTTTTAAAAACTTATAAATAGGAAGTGCTCTTCTTAACTCCTCTACAAAAAGTATTCTGGGGGCCTGGTGCCACAGCCCAGTAGCTAAAGTCCTCGCCTTGCACACGCTGGGATCACACATGGTCGCCGGTTTGTATCCCAGCTGCTCCACTTCCCTTGCTGCTCCCTGCTTATGACCTGGGAAAGCAGTTGAAGGTGACCCAAAGCCTTGGGACTCAGAAGAAGTTAAAACATTCTGCTAAGGATTTTGGCTATCTCTGATTGATAGCAACTTTTTTCCTACATATCTTCTTAATTTGATAAAAAAATTTATGTAAATTCTAAAGAATTTCAAACAAGGAATCCTTTGTAATACTGCAATGTATTTAACTCTAACTAGAAAAATATTCCTAATTACCTAGGCAGAGAAATGTTGATCATTTCTGCATTCAAATAGTTTCCTTACACCATTTATCTGACAGCCAAACATTTTATCAGAACACACATAAAAAGTTCTGGCCACTGTTCAATTGCTGGTGTTTCATCTTCTAAAAATGTCTCTCAAATATTCATGGCCCCTGATACATTCTCTCCCAAAAGAATCCCTTTCCCCCAGTGTTCCCAACCTGAACAAGGCCCAGACTCAAATCTTTCCGAGCTGGAGAACAAGAGGTTCAAGGAGATGGAATGGGGGACAAAAGTGATCCTGTAACACAGCTGCCAAATTAAAAATGCATGTGCCACTTGACCCCACACAGTTCTGAACAAAGAAATCCATTGTAGTGGTACATGTTTGTCATGGCAAATGCTCATACTTCCCATTTGTACTAGAATTCTTGCTGTTCCTTGAACAGCACCAAGCTGATTCTTATCTCAGTTTTTCTATTATAATACTCTTTTCCAGATCTTTCAACCATTTTTACTTATCATTTAGACCTTATTCCCAAGTATCCAAAAGCTTGGCCTGGCCTTCCTATGTAATGCAAATATGTTTTCTCAATGCACCCTCTTACGCTACTGTCTTCACTAATTTGGGGGTGGGAGGGAGGGTGGAGGTAGGGGTAGGCATGAGGTTTCATTGTGGGTAATGTATCTGGGCCAATGATGTGTATGGAAGGCACACAGAAACAAGACCTTTGATTTTCTTCTCCATCTCTGTATCCATCAAAGAGTGTTTGCTGTACAATAACTACTCCGTGTCTATTTGATGAAAAGGCAGATGGAGACAGACGATTAGCAGGAAACCAGAATGTAAATGTTCATCAGTTGAAAACTGGTAAAATGAAATGTGATTACACCACACAGAAAATATATATGGTTCATGCCATAAATCCAAAAGATGTCCATGTACTGTATTTGAACTCTCAACAAACACCTAGGTACCTATACAGTAGGAGCTAGCCATTGTTCTGAGTTAGGTAAAAAATGGAGAATAAGGCAAATACATTTCCGTTATAGGTATGCCCTTAGTCAAAATAATGCATGCATGGAGCACAGAGAAAACAAAAGCAGAGGCAGAAAAGAATATAAAAGTTTACTTACCTATGTAGTCACGCTTGACGAGACCTAGTATTTTTTCTAATAGATGATGATCACCAGTAGTTTAAAGAATGTACCTAAGAGTTGAGAAAATGAGGGAAATATTGCTATATCATTTTATGTCTATATGTTTAATTTGATTTTTATCACATGCTTTCACTCTTAATTCAATAATTAAGTATTTACTGATAACATTGGAATTTAATAAGAAAACTCAAAAGATGTTACAATTAAAATAAAAATGAATATGGAAAAGTAATTTTTATGACTCCTTCTAAAACAAACAAAATATTATCGTCTAACCTGTTACAAGTACACTTTGATTACATACTCATAGTGTAGTTATTTGCATGCTTGCTTGCTTGCTTGCTTGCTTGCTTAAGTAGAGTTAAAACTTCAAAACAAATACAAGGAAACAATTTTGGAACACAAAAGTTCAATGTCTATTAAAGAGTTCCTGAGAATTACTCAAATGCTTCTTAAAACAACATTTTTTGAAGCTTATGCTGTGGCCTTTGGTGCCAGCATCCTACATGGACATTGGTTTAAGTCCCAGCTACTCAACTTCCAATCCAACTTCCTGCTACTGCGCCTGGGAAAACAGCAGCTATGTGGGAGACCTGGAAGCACCAATGTCCTAGCTTGGAATGGCCCAGCTCTAGCTGCTGCAGCCACTTGCAGAATGAACTGGGAAATACAAATTTCTCACTGTCTCTGTTCTCTCTGTAAATCTGCATTTCAAATAAAAATCAATCTTTAAGAAAAAAACACTTTCCATTTTAGTTAAGGGCTATTTATGATAATGTTAGTTAGGTTGTCTAAAGTTTTTAAAAAATGAATGAAAACAAATTATTCCTCAGTAACTCAGATAGTTCTCTTTTGTTATCATGTTAGAGATGAAGAAACTGCTATTTAAAAACAATTGCTTTCCATCATTGAAAGTTACTATAACAGTTAATTTCATATGTCAATATGACTGGACCATTAGTAGCCAGACATCTGGTTACTCTGGCTGTCTGCAAGGGTATTCCTGGATTAGAGTAACACTTGCATCAGTACAATAAATAAATAAAATTGATGTGCCATTCAGGCGGCTGGGATACTGGAAAGAAGAAAAAGACTGTCCTATAGAATCAAGAGGGAACTACGACAACATGTTTCCTGGCTCAGATCCTAACACATTGACTGTTGTGGACCCAAAGCTGCTAGCCTTCTGACTTAAACCACATCATTAACTCTCTTGGTCTCAGGCCTCCATGGTGGTACTATACCGTAGCTCTCTACTGTAGCCTGCTTGCCAACTGTGGATCTTGGGACTTGTCAGCCTGTCTAATCACCTAGACCAATTCTTTTTATTTTATTTTTAATGTTTCCCATAATTGAAAAGGATGCATGCTCATGTGGGGCCTCTATTTAGTGGGTAAATGTCAAGGTATGGAGGAAGTGAGTGGGACAAGTGTCTGTTTTTTTCTTTTTTCTCCAGTGTCTGCAGAAAGGGGTGGGAGCGGCCACTCCTTGCTGTCAAACTACATCAGCACCCAGGGATGGGGACGGTCATTTGATGATGCCTTAGAGACCCTGATGTGGGGAGAAGGATGTTACTAGAGTGGTTTTTATTAGTTCTGAGACATTATCAGCTTTGTTGCACCAGAGCTGAGAAAATCTGTTGGGTCACTAAGTCCACCTTAGCACATCCCAGATACTTGCTGCAAAGCTTGTCCAGCAGGGCTGAACAACCCATTCTGCCTTCCATCCTCTCACAAAGCACTCTGTGTCCTCCATTGGCTTAGGTAAGCTGGCCATAGTACCTTTATGTGTATCTGTGCATGCTGTTCCCTGCACAGGCATCAGCAACTGAAGAGGTTCTTTTCACTGTGGCCAGGGTTTAAGTACAGTGGTTCAGTTGGGGAGTCCCCCAAGAAACCTTGCCTGAGTTGACTTGAACCTCATCAGTTTTGATCCATCACCTGTACCAGCTGTACCAGCTAACACACAAGCTGGTGGCTGTAGCTGCCTGGTCAGTTTCACCCCCAGCCTCATCTCTCACATGAACTGATGGGTGCTTCATTCTAACCTAAGCCAGCCCAGCCCAGCCCAGCCTGGCCCACAGCCCTGCCAATCACAGGTCCAGCCCTTAGGCATACCAGTGCACCTGTGGCCTAGATAGGGTGATCCCAAATAACTCCCACCAGGCCTGCCCCAGCCCTGGCTAACCCCACTGCAGGCATGTGCTGCAGCCTAGCCCATCCCACCCCAGCCCATCCTGCATCTCATCTGACTCTCTTGTACACCAATGGGTGCTGCAACTTAGTTAAGCCCAACACATCCCCAGACCCAGTCAACACATATGCTGATGGGTGCTGCAGCCTTGCCCAGCTCACCAGCAGGGACTGCAGCCTAGCAGGTGAGAGCCCACAGTTCCCCTGCCAGGTCTGCTTGCAGCCCTGGATGTTGTGCTTGACAAGTGGTACTGCCATCCAGTCTGACATGAGTCTCAGCCAGTTCTAGCACTGGCGAGTGGGTACAGTGGGCTAGCTCAGCCAGTTCATACAAATTTTGGCCCTCATACATGAGCAGGTGTGGCAGCCTAGGCCAGCCTAGTCTGCCCCAGTCTCAGATCTCACCCTCATCAGTGGAAACAGCTGCCTACCAGAGGGAGTTCCAGAAGTTTCACTACAGGCCCACTTCCACACCTGAGTCTTGCACGCATGCTGGTGGGTGCTGCAGCCCAATTTGTCATAGTCCCCCCCCAGTCCTGGTATTCACCAGCAGGTGCTATAGCCTGGCTCATCCCAGCCTGTTCCAGTCCCACCTCTTATCAGCAGGTGCTGAAGAGGCCAATTTTTCATAACAAATCTTGTGTGTATGTGTATATACACAAAAAGTTCATGAAAATGGAATTAAAAGATAAATTTATTTTGGTGCAAAAATATTTTAAACTATACATAATTTTTCATAACATTCATTTTCCATAAACTGTTAACATGAAAGGATATTAAGATACCAAATAAATATTTGAAGTTTCAAATATTTAGGTTTCACATTTCAACATCTGGGGACAAAACAATATTCTGCTTCAAATACTGCAATAGTCTTCAATGTCATTTGCAAATGACAGTGAGAATGGATATGACATTGCACTAACTGCTGATTTTTTAAGAAAACTTTTAAAACTGTTTTTATTTTCATATGTCTAATAATATACCAGAATTTTCTACAGTATCCTGAAACTTTTGCCTTAAGCTAAGCTAAACTGAATCACTTAATCTAGCACAGAACAGAATATAAAAACAAAGTCATTTTATAGAATCACTTTCCTAGCGAGCAAACATCCTGCTTTCTTAAGATCTAAGTGAGTGTCAAGTTCTGAGGCAATGACATACTTCTTCACACAAAGGTTTATATTTCTACCCCACCAATCGAAATTCTTGGCAAACTAAAGGCAAAAAAAGCATTAGAGCAGGTTAAGTCAACCTATACTGACAACTGTTATGAGCTACTTGAAATCAAAACAACAACTATCAAATAATGTCTTTCTAAAATAAAGTGAAATACAATTAAATTCCTTTATTAATCATATATATGATTATATTATCTACTAAATGATTTTCGCAAACTGAACAAAAGTGATTTAATAATTATCTAGAATTTCTGTAACTTGATAATGATGAAATATTAACAAATACATGTAATAATTATCTAGTTTCTATAACTTAATCACAAAATAGCAATATATACAGGCATATTTATTATAGCAAATATATTAACAGCTGCAATCTGAGTTTTGGACACTTGAAAAAATTTTATGATACAATATTTGTAAAATTTACCAAAATTGTTATAATTCCCAACAAAAAAGTCTACTTGCAGACCAAGTGTTACATTTTCTAAAAGAACGTTTCAGTTTGTAGGAGATAATTAACCTATGAAATTGTACCATAAAATTAAAAACAAAATATAAAAAAAAATCAGAATAAAATTCAACTACATATATTCATAAGTAAATTTTTAAAAAGAAGATAATTTTAAGAACCTAATATTTTAACAATGATAGGCTTTTAGCTCTATTTTACCCAATGTCAAGAAATTTACAATGCACCATTCATTTGTCTGAGAAACTACAAAAGCATGTCTAATTTCTTTAGAATCATTAATATTTTAAATAAAAACTGCATAATATGATCCTATATCAGATAAACCATAGTTAATATAAAATAAAAACAATTTTTTGAAGATTTGTTAGAGAGAAAAGGAAGACAGAGATCTTCCATTCTAGTATACCGCTTCACTGATTGACTCCCCACAAGGTTCCAATGTCCGGGTACAGGCCAAGACAAAGCCAGAAGCTTCCGACCCCAAAAAAGTCTCCCACCCAAGTGGCTTGGGATATTCTCTGCATTAGCAAGGAGCTGAATTGGAACTGAGGCAGAACCGTTTGTTAAAGAGATTCATTCTAGTCCACTGTATAGTCTGAGCAGTTTGGGCAAAAAAATCAAATGGTATATGTACAGGATTAATTTCTAGACTCTCTCGTCTGTTCTACTGATCTGTGATCAGATTTTATGCCAGTACCATGCTATTATAACTACTACAGCTTTGCAGTATACTTTGAAGCCAGGCATTATGATGTTTCCAGTTTGACTTACTGGTTTCCCATCTGAAATGATCTGTCCATTGACAGATTGAGGAGCTAAAGTCATCTGCAATTATTGTATTGGAGACTACCTCTCCCTTCAGGTTTGACAGTATTTGTGTATTCTGGATGATCTTGGGTTAGGTGTGCATATATTTATAACTGTTACATTTTCATAGTGAATTAAAAGTTTTATCCAAATATAGTGTTCCACATTTCTTTTCGACGTTTTATTTACAATCTCTTTAAGCTGATTTCAAGATCACTAGCACTGGTTAGTTCTGGCTTCCATTTTCCTGGTATATCTTTTCCCAGCCTTTCACTTTCAATCTCTTACATACATCTTTGTTTGCAAAGTGAGTTTCTTATATGCATATAGCAGGGTCTTGATTTTTTTTAAGCCCATCTAGGTCTTTTGAGTGGAAAATTTGATCCATTTATATT